GGCTCTCCGACCGAATCCACCCATGCGAGGCATCGCAGAGGCGTTTGAGCAGCGCGGTGGTGGGGTGGTCGGGGCCGAAGTGGTCCTGCGCCTCCCGCAGCGCGCGGAGCATCGTCGGGAGGGCGGCGGAGCGCTGCCGCGCGGCCTCGTGGCGGCCCAACGTGATCGCGAGGTTGTGCAGCGCGGTGATAAAGAGCACGCGATCCCCTTCCTGCGCGGCCATCACGCACTCCTGCGCGATCGGAAACGCCCCGTCGACGTCGCCCATGCTCAGCAGCAGGGTGGAGAGGTTCATCATCGTCGAGCAGGACGGCCGCCCACACACCTGCAGCTCCACCACCCGCGCCCGCTCAAGGCACGCCAACGCCTCCTCGATTTTGCCCTCCCGCCGGCGTTGGCAGCCCATGTTGTTTAAGGAGACGGCGTGCAGGAGCAGCCAGCCGTCGCAGTGGATCCGCGGCGGCGGCGGGTCCACGGCGTTGGGCGATTTTTTCCGCGACCGCTGCCGCCGATCACGACGGGCGGCGTCGCGTTGAAACCAACAAACGGCCTCCTCGGAGGCCCGAAGAGCCCGACTGATGAGTTCGTTGCTTCGCGTGAGATCATTCTGCCGCAGCGCCTCCATGGCGTCTTCATTACACTTCATCACTTCTTCCAGCGACATGGTGGGGGGGTTAAGTGGATCGTTATGTCTAAAGGACCTAAAAAAGCCGGCCTCCGTGGCGATCAGTTTCTTCCCTGACTTCGCGCCCCCTGGCTTTGGGACGCCATCGGTGTTCTCGAATTTCGAGAACGCGTTAGAGAAATGATGATGAGTGGCTAATGCGGAGCTGCTTCTGGCTTCGTGTTTTTTCAAGCGAAGGTTTCCAGGCCGCTTGATGCTGGTGTTCTTCATAGTATTGGAATAACCACGTGCCTCGTGCATGTTCGTTGCTCTCACTCCGCCAGAAGTGACCGTGGGAGATGTGCTGCGAGGCATTGTTCTAAACTGTGCTTAGGTGTTGTACCTAATAAAAACATATATTAGATACGCTGTTTGTTTGTTTGTTTTAGCTTCTGGAGAAGCTAAAAAGCTTGAGCTATGAAATAGAAAGATGGTGAGGCAAGGAAAAGAAATTTTTAAGCCGAAAACAATCAACCACAACAAGATTCAAGCGTTCTTCCTTATCACAGCATCAAGTTGTGTAATAATCGCGCATCTCTGATGCATGCTCAGTGAATCACCTTTTTCAGCTATTGTCGAGGAAATAAATAGTTACTCGATAAAATTCCGTCAATTGTCTAACTCATAAACTACGATATGTGTGAAATTCAGCAAATTAACCGATCCTCGAACCCGTTTTCTGACTTATCCAGTCTAAATACGGTACATAGCCCTCCCCCATGGGCATGCTGATAATTTCTGGGCAATCGTATGGATGATTCGCTTTAACCAACTCAATAATGTCCTTCACACGGCTGGTCTGGGTTTTAATAATCATGAGGCATTCCGTATCCTCTTTCAGCTCTCCCTCCCACTCATAGACCGAGGTAACGGAAGGGACAATGTTCACGCAGGCTGCCACCCGACGATTCTGCACTAAGATTTTTGAAAGAGTGGATGCCACAATCATGGTAGGGGTCGTCACATAGCAAATGGAGAACATTTTTTTTATTTGAAATATTTAGAAGAAACGCATAAGAAAAAAATGCTAATATCAAAAATATATTACGCTGTGTATCCGTTCCTGATGAAATAATAAAAGTTACAACAAAGTCCTAAGAAATAGATGATATGAGACCAGCACATTGCACTTGCATAGCACAAAAGCCCTTTGTCCATAACAACGTATCCCATACACATCGGGCTTGAGAAATGTTACGTTTATTTTTATATCTATATAGATATAGATACTGGTAGTTACTTTACTCGACTTATATGAATGTTTTATAGAATATGTTTCAGATGGTGCGCAAGAGATCCAATAATTGATTTCTTTTATTTTTTTGTTCATCGATTCTTCGCGTTCCCCGATCATATCGCTTCAAGAACGCACATCATAACATCCTAGTTAAACAAGTTCATCAAAAGGAAAGGGATCTAAGTTCACTTTCCTTTCTTCGCCTTTACTTTCCTCGATATTCTGGCCTTTTCCTTCGCTAATTTCCGTTTCATGGTGGCCATTTCTTCGAAAGTACGCACATGACCGTCCTTCGGCAGTCGTTTCTGCTTGCGCCCAATGCGAAGTTTCTTGCCTTGGTTCGGATCGCTGATATCTACGTAGTCCTCGTCATTTTCATCTTCGCCACCGCCACTTTGGGATGCCTCTCCGTTGGCGGCGCGCGCCCTCTTCAACGGGCCGAGATCCTCCTCCTCCCCGGCGTCCTGGATCCGCATGTTGCTCTTCTTCATCCACTTGCTATAGGCCTGAAGCTTGGTCTTGTAGTTAATCGCCTTCCCTGCCTCATTCTTGACGCCCTTCAGCAACGCTTTGGCGTCGTTGACGTGCATCTTCACGTAGCGATTCTTCTTCTTACTCCAGGCGAACACCTGCCGCTGATGCTCCTCGTCGGCGGTCGTTTCGGCGTTGATATCCAAAACCGCGTTGCGCACGGAGCAGTGCACGTCGTCGACCGTCTCCCGCCGCACGCTGTTCATGAAAAAGTCGGAATCGCGATACTTTCCCGATTCAAGCGAGCCGCTTTCGGTGCTTAATGGCACCATTCGAGCCTGCACAACGACCTCGCAGGAGGGTGAGGCGGCCACGCCGCCGCCGGGCATCTCCAGCCCCGCCCGCTCGCGTTTCTTCCGCTCCTGCGCGCGAAGCAACATCCGATCGGCAAAGCTGAGAGGAGCGGAAGGGGGTTCGGGAGGCCCCATTGAGAGCGCAGCCCCCCTTTTTCCCTCTCTCCCCCCCGCCCCCGCGGACAACCCCGAGCGATTTTGAAACGTCGCAGGCTTCTCGATGCGAAACATCTTCTCCCCGGAGACGAGCTCCAACACGGACTCGTTGGATTTAAATCGTTTGAGGTCGAAACGGGCCTGATCGGCGGCGACGCGGCGCTGATCGAGGCTGGTGAGCATCATCGGATGCAAAGGGGTTTGATCAAAGCCGTACTCCGGCTTACGGGCCTCTTGAATGGCCTCATGGGTGGGTTTTCGCCGCGTGCGGATATACTTTTTGTGGGCATTCTCCACTACCTTGGCGAGGTTCCGCACCTCCACGTCGTCGCGATGCAGACGTCGAAGAAAGTCCAGCTCGAGTTGGATGTCCTCCTCGGGAAGACGACCATAACAGCCGTCCTTAGGGTCAAACAGCAGATCCCCTTCCACCGGCCGACACTGCAGGGGTTTATCCAAGAAGTGCATGAGATCGACGTAATAAGGGAAATCCTCAAAGGTGAGGATCGAATAGGCCGTTCCGGAACGCCCGGCGCGCGCCACACGACCCACCCGATGCACAAAAAGCTTCGGCGTCGATGGAAAACTGAAGTTGATGACGTTATCAAGGAGCGGAAGGTCGAGCCCGCGCGCGGCGACGTCGGTAACGACCATCACGGATGTGTTTCGTCGCGCGAAATCCCGCACGGCGAGGCGCCTCGCCTCCTGATCCATCTGCCCATGAATCGCGCTGTGCGAGATCATGTAGTGCTGCAACACGAGCTGGAGAAAATCTACGTGAAATTTGGACTCGACGAAGATCAGAGCCTGCGCTCCCTCCTCCCCGTCCGCCTCGCCGACCTTGATTACGCGTTTGAGCAACACAATCAGCGCCGCGACCTTTTCATCCTGGCGAACAAAAAACGCGCTTTGCGTTAACTTCTCGCTCAGCTTCATCTCTGCGTCGAGGCGAATCACGATTGGGTTGTGCAGCCCCGCACTGGTGAACTCTGCGAGGACGCTCGGCATCGTCGCGGAGAAGAGCGCGCGCTGTGCGGAGTCCGGGATGCGATGCATAATACTCACAATCTGGGGTTGCAAGCCGAGCTCAAAAAGCCGATCCGCCTCGTCGAGGACGATGCAACGCACCATCGTGAGCTGAATCGAGGCCTCCTCGATGATGTGCAGAAGACGCCCCGGGGTGGCGATCACGACGTCGGGGTTCGCCGCGAGGAGTTCGAACTGCCGCTCCAACGCCGCGCCGCCGACGAGGGCGGCGAATTGGAGGTCCATCCCCGTGTTTAGGGCGAAGGCGTGGCGGAGGATCTGAAGGCTAAGCTCCCGCGTGGGGGAGAGGATGAGGCCGCGAATCCCCACCACCTTCGCGTGCGCCCCAAGGCGATGCAGCATCGGGATTAAAAAGGCCGCGGTTTTGCCCGACCCCGTCCGCGCCATCGCGACGACGTCGCTCCCTTGCAACATCGGCGGGATCGCCTTTCGTTGGATGGGGGTTGGGACCGTAAAGCCCTGCTTTTGAATCGCGTCGAGCAACGGCTTGCCGAGTCCGAAGGTTTGGAATCCGCCGCCTTTTTTGCGTTTGGTGTCCTCCGCCGCCTCCACCGCGGACTCCCATGATCCCAAACCAAGCATGTTTTGTTTTTTTTCTCCTGCACTCTCTATTAGAATTACTATTATGATGACGTGTGGGCGGGAGAGGTTAATACTAAAACCAGCCTCGTGGGAAGCAAATTAAATTCTGGAGTGGGGAGGGAAGAAAGGGGGAAGTTATCAATCAGCATTGATTGGTCATCTACGAAACGAGTCAATAGCACTCGCGATGACGCGTTGAGCAGTTTCAAAAGCAAAAAAATTATCCGCCACCCGAACGCGGTGGTGGTGGTGGTGGAATTAGGAGGAATCCAAAATTAGTTTTAGCGGCCTTATTCCGTCGTGATGGGGTGTATCCTCTGCAACTCCGCATCCTTGAAAGGAACCAGGTCTGGGCGAGACGTGAGCATGGCGGCCTCCATCCCAGGCTCGCAACTCGCCACCTCGTAGGTCTCCAACGCACTCACGTACGGCGCGCCATCCCTGTGATTTAGCCAGGCCGCATCGCTCGTCGAATCCTCGACGCCAAAAGGGGTTTTGAGGCCGTAACGAAAGCGCGTGTTGCCATGGGAGGCGGCTGGCGAAGAATCCAACGGATCCCGCCGATTTCGATACGGGGAGTACACCGAAGGGGGGTACATAATCTGCCCTAACAGCCCTGGCGCATCCTGAGGCTGATAAGGCAAAAGATGCGCTAAACGCTGCGGGAGCTCCGGCAAAAGCAACTCCACGGCGCCTAATCGAGCTAATTCGAGGAGGACATCATCCATCAGGGCGGTAGGATTCGCCCCCGATCTCGGCGCGACGACATCCGAAGGATTCCCATCCCGCCCTCTTACAACCGACGCCGGATCCGTCACTACAGGGACGCATAACTCCAGTAAACGCACCCCGACCGTATCGCTTCTTTGATTTTCCTCGTTTTCATCTCCGCTTCCGTTACCATCCTTCACGTCTACGGTTTCTACGGTTTGAGGAAAAAACTCAGCCACCTCCCCTACGTCAGCGCCATCCGTCTTGTGCGATTGGCTATGCGAAGCGCTAACAACGATATCCGAGGGAAGCGTTGCGATGATACTACCCGTATCGCGATCCTTGAGATTCGCTCCGGGCTCGTAGGGGATTTCAAACGCCTCACAGAGCTCATTTAACGTAACCTCACCATCGTTTAACTCAACATATTTTTCACCAAAATAAACGATAGACTTGGAAAACCGGTGTGTGGCCATCAAGAGGTATGGTGGGATATAGCTTTTTTTCTAATTAGTGGTGGTATTCAGTCTATGGGCGAGCAGAGAATTTGTTTTCTTCGATTTTGTGAAAATGAAAAATCAGAACAATGACTTAGTTTGACTATCAGTATTGTTTAGTTGGATTTGTGTTGCAATTCTTTTTACTTTTTGAAGTCGACTATATATATATATATATATATATATATATATATATGTATGTATACGTATAGTAGG